AAAAAAAAAAAAACAATTATTCGGTCTTGTTATCAAGTAGAAATATAAGAAGAAAACTTTTACTTCTTCGTTCCGGGGAAAAAAAAGGCAAAAGAAAAATGATGGAAGCATTATTATTAACTAACGAGTTTTTTCATAAAAAAATAAAACCTATAAGAATTTAACTAAATAAATACTCATTAAAAATATTAATTTAAAATTAAAAAAAATAAAAATTAAGACATTATAATATTAAAGAAATTAAAATGTTCAATCTCGATCATATAATAAATGAGATTTAAGTAAAATTTATATTATACTTCACTTATGTTGTATATTTGATTAAATATTTTAATATTTTAAACGCTAAAACATTATAATTTTTTCCATCTTCAACACTTACAATACCAAACAACTAACTGCTTATATATAAATAATAATAATATAAGTACTAAAATGAAATGGAAGATGTGTATATATGGTAAATGATATAATTAAGTTAATAAAACTTTAAAAAAGTTTTGCAAATGTTGACGACTTAAATAGTTTAATGATAATTTTTTTCCACTAAAAATAAGGAGTGCTAAATTTAAGTCACATGGCATGTGGATAAAATAGAGTAGAAGCTAAAAAAGAGTTATTTCTCATTATGTAATCAAGATAAAAAAGAAAAAAAGTTTTGCAAATTCAAAACATATTATTACATTTTTTTAACAGCAAAAGCACATTTTTATTTATATATTGAGTACAAGAGATATTCTAATCCATTTTACAAAACACAAGAAACCATCCATAAAAATTTCCCTCATGCAAGATCATTCCTTTACTGCCCTTTCTATCCACCACAATTTAATTTTAAACATGCAACAGGATTTAATAACCAATCTGAGAGTTTGAAATAGCACTCGTCTTTCCTTCCTTAATCCATAAGAATGGACTCAATTGAATAAATTCAAGCAGTTTCCCCATATTTACCTCTAAAGCATGGAAATTTTTTTTATTTCATGCAATCCACACAAACCAAACCATTGTACTCCAAATGCAATCCCAACCTTTTCTGATGTGTGGTTCTTTGGTCCATGCCCCAAAATACTCAAAGGTTTACCAACAGTCACTTTCTAATGAAACATTGATCCCCCACCATTTAGCACATGCATCCCATAACTACCTGACACTTTTGCATTTCAGGAATAAATGATTAGCATCCTCAACCTCTTCATCGCATAACACACACATACCTTCTTCCATATCTTTAGCAACCCCTCTTTTTAACAAGTTACACTTGGTTGGTAGTCTATCTAATAATAATTACCAATTAAATGCATATATTTTGCTCAAAAGAGTAGGGTTCCATACTCTCTTGAAGGTTGTAGCTTTGATTGATCCACTCGAATCCTTTGACAATAACAAATAAGATGATTTAGTTAAGTAATGTCCATCCTTGTTGTGAATCCGCTCCCATATGTCTGGGTAGCGAGGAGAAATCCTCACCTCTTCTAATGTAATGAGAAGTTTAGTGGCTGCATCTTCTTCCCAATCAAACAAGGTTTTTCTCCACATAAGGTTCCACTTCCATGTTCCATTGTCATCGTTACCCATTTGGTAGTATTCTTTCTCTTATCCTATAGATAAAAGATACAATCTAAGAAATTTGTTAGCAAGACAACCCTCCCCACACCAATTATCCCACCAAAATCTCACATTTTTTCCTTCCCCTATCTTTGTTTTAAATCCCTCCACCAACCACCCCACACTCTCCCTTCAATCATATTGAGATGGCACACATCCATCCACCATAATGAACCTACACCACTATCCTCTCTCACCCAAATAAGCCAAGGATCACCTCCCTTACCATATTTCCTACAATAACTTTCCTCCACAATCCATCTTTATTTGATGCTAATCTCCCTCACCAATTGCTCGGCAAAGCTAGATTAAACCTCCTTAATTCCTTCACTCCTAGCCCACCATTCTCTTTATCCTTACAACCTTCTCTCAACTTACCCAATTAATTTTTTTCCCTTCATTCACCCCAGCCCATAAGAAACTCTTACGGATTTTATCAATAGAATCGAGTATACCTTTTGGGATTAAGTAGATTGACATCAAGAATAGGGGCAGACTAAACAACATTGAATTGATGAGTGTGATACAACCACCGAAAGAAAGATGTTGTCCTTTCCAATAGCCAACTTCTTTTTAAAGGATTCCACCATTGGTTGCCACATTGCTAGCCTTCTAAGATTCCCACCAATAGGAATCCTTAGATATTTAAATGAAAAAACACCTTCTTTATACATAAAATGTAAGCCATTTTACCTCTCCAACCTTCTTCAACTCCAACACCCATTAACTGACTCTTCCTAAAATTAATTTTTAATCTTGAAACTAACATAAAAGTTTTCATAATACACTTTACCACCAAAATGTTGTCTTGAAATGCCTCACCAAAGAAAATTGTGTCATTCGCAAATTGTAGATCAGATACCCTTACATCTCCATTACCAACCATCACTCCTTTATATTACCCTTTTTCAACTACAGCAGACACTAACCCATTTAGCTCTTCTGCCACAATCAAGAATAAAAAAAGGGATAATGGGTCACTCATCGTAAGCCCCTAGTAATAAAGTATTGTTTTGTTGGATTCCTTTTGATTAAGATAGAAATCAAGCTTGATCGTAAGCACTCCTAAATCCATTTTCTCCATGTTACACTAAAGCCCATCCTAAATAGCATATAATCTATAAATTTCCAATTCACCCTATCATATGCTTTTTTGAAATCAACTTTAAAAAGAAAACTCCCATTCTTCGTCCTTTTAGCCTCATCAATCACCTTATTTGCAACTACAACCTCATCGACCAATTATCTACCCCCTATGAATGTCATTTGCTATTCCCCAATGATCTTAACTAGCACCTTCCACAGAGGGTTTGCTAGCAACTTTGTAATGATCTTATACATGACTACAATCAGTGACATGGGTCTATATTCACTGATTCTTTGAGGTTTTCTACATGTGGAATGAGAACTATAAAAGAGGCATTAGACCTCATCATTAGCCTTCCATGCTTATGGAACTTCTGTATGAACCTAACAACATCTGGTTTGATGTCCTTCCACATAGCCTTTATAAATCTAAAATTAAATCCATCTTGACAAGGAGCTTTCAAAGAATCACAATCCAAAACAACTTCTTTAATTTCTTCATCAAAGAAAATTGCTATAAGGAGATCATTATCTGCTTGTGATAACTGTTTGAAGCTAATGCCATCAAGTCTCGATCACTACCACTTCTCTTTTGTAAACAACCCTTCAAAATATTTAGCCACCCCATCTTTTATTTCTTCCACTCCAATGTCTTGTACACCATTGATCTAGAAGCTATTAATTTCATTCTTTCTCCATCTTCCCTTCACATATCTATGAAAGAATTTGGTGTTAGCATCCCCTTCTTTTAACCACACCCTTTTTAACTTCTATTACCACATGATTGGCTTAATCTTTAGGCTCTTCCAAAGGTCACGAAAATAGCATCTCCTCTTATCAATGTCGATTGTAGACAACTGGGCATTCTCTCCTTTCTTATCTAGTAGAGCTGTCTTCTTTTTAGCTTCTTTTATTTTGTTATCTAGATTTGAAACAAAGTTTCCACTTCACTTCTTTAAAGTTTTCTTGGTTTTTTTCAATTTTTCCCTAAATCAAAACCCACTCCAACCCTATACCTCCATAGATTTCCACACATTTCTAATCGCCTCCTTACACCCAGGTTGATCAAGTCATGCATCAAAAAACTTAAAAGATCTCAAGCCCCAATCACAACTCTGGCTCTTCATAAGGATAAGGCAATGATCTGATACTGATCAACTCAACCCCTATTGCTTTACATTACTTCAATTTAGAATCCACTCCTCCAGTACTAACAATTTATCAATCCTACGCATATACTAACTATTAGAGTTGTACCAAGTGTATTTCTTATCCACCAAGGGTAAATGAACCACTCCAATGTTGTGAATAAAGCCATCAAACTCCCTTATTTCCATCCCCATTAAACCCTACTCATTCACTTGTTCTTCTCATAGTATTAAAATCCCCTACCAAACATCAATTACTTCTCCTGCTATTTATTAGACGTTACAGCTCTTCCCCTTTTTTGCCCAACAATTGGCATGGGGAGTACATGTTTAGAATATAAACTGGAACCTCCTCAACACCCTTTGAACCTCCTCAACACCCTTTAAACCAAACACACCAATGTAGTTGTCCTCATCCAAAACCTCTTTCTTTTTAAAAACTTTTGAATTCCATACACATAGCAACCCTTCAAACACTCCATCTGATGCTTTTGATATCCAGTCAAATCTTCTATTACAAGCCTCTATCTTGGTCTCCTAGATTATTGAAAAGTCTACTTTTTCTTTCATAAAAATCTCCATAATTTGCCTCTTTTTCCTATTCTTCCCAAGCCCTCTACTATTAAAAGATAACATTATCATTGAGAAGTTTCACTTACCCTCTTGACATCAGATGCAACATGATCCATCATAGCTACTTTTGCTTGTCTGTCTCTATTCTCCATTTCATCAATTCTCTGGATTACCTCATCTTCATTCTCTGCCACTCTACCTATGTGCTCAGCAAATTCCCAAACATCCTTTGCTAACTGTTTTCCCAATTGGTTTCTTAAGGATCTGTTGCAATTTTGAATTCCACTCTCCTCGATTAAATCACAAGCAATTTTATCGATAAAGCTTGGTAAAAATTCTAGCGATGGCCTCTCCTCCATTAATTTCCTACTCTACCTTCCTCGTCCTTTCCTTCTTTGTGATCCTTCTCTAATCACTTTAGTGTTGAGATAAACCAAACTACAAGATTGAATTCTCTTTTTCTTTTTCTTTGAGATCTTCCTTGTCCGCCTACCCATCAATTCTTTCAGTCACCTTTCTTCACTTTCAAATCTTTTCCAAAATGAATTTATAATCACCTCAACGATGGGTCACCTTCAATCTCCTTGCTTCTAGAGAATTCCTCCCTTCTAGCTGGATTTGGGTTCTTCACTGTTTCCCTAAACTAGGCCAACCCCAAGTTTCTTGACTCTTCAAAAGTTGGCTGTCAACTTGTGTATTGGGCTCCCTACAAGGCTTTATAATACATTGTGTATCCAAGCCTAACTGATCCCCATTATCTGCACCAAAACCTACTAATGGTTCGAACCCAAGTGTCTGCATCACCAACTTCTCCTCAACTACATTTTCAACAGCAATTACTTTTAGTATTTGTTTAAGACTATCGACCACAACATTACCCGATTTCTCTTCTTCATGGCTAACTCATATTTGAGACCTTTCATTATCCCTTCTCATATAGTTTGCTACGTCATCATCTTCTTCACATGCATCTATAAGTCAATTATCAACCTAAGCATCAACACTTGCCGTGTTAAACTGATGATCCTCCATCTCATTATCAATAGATGTAGGCATGAAATCTTGTTTCAAGGAGAAGAAACTATTTGTCAGCTCCTCTTCAATGAACTTAACATTGAACATGACCCCATTAACTTTAACTTGTTGCATTACTAATATTGTGCTCATGGTCGGAACAAAAATTAGCAATCTAACCATATTGATGTTTTTATTTATTGTAGTACCTTAACAATAGAATTAAAAGATATTAAAGAAAAATAGTTTTTCATTCAAATGTTTTTAAGAGAAATACACTTTAAAACTACCCATTGATTCCCTGAACTAATAATGAAAAATATTAAAATAATTTATTTTTGAAATGAAAACTGGATTGTTTTAAGTTTTCTCAGTAGTGTACAAAGTCATGATGCCCAACATCTTCACTACATATTTTCATGGTATTCTAACACCGTATATAATAATTACATTTAGGTCATATACAACTAGAGAAGAAAATATTAGAGAAAAATAGTGGACTAACCAATCACATCCATCATACAACATAATTGGAGCAACACAATAATTTCAAGTAAAAATTAATTCAGTCATTTGATATTTTAATGACTTTGTGGCAGTCCAATGAACAATTCCGTCACAACCTCCGAACACTGCTTATTTTGAGCGCTATCATTTATTGCATTCCTCTGTTTGGTTAATGATTGCTGCCATAACTTTCCACTACCACCACACTAATACCCATATCAAAAGAGAGAGTTAATTTATTTTCATTCAAAATAATGTTACAGTTTAAAATATATTAGACTACAAAAAAAGAGCGATTCAATGAAATGGGTCTTGATGGTAAGGCAAGCCCAGTCATCCAAAGGCCTAGGTTTTGCATTCTAGCATCAATTTGAACCATAAAACTGTGGGGGTGTTTTTAAGTATTATGGAAAAAAAAAAAAAAAAAAACCTCCAAGATTTGGGATGAAAGACTCACCTTTTCACATAATTGCCTGTTGTCTTCTAATAACATTCTCTCCTAAATTAAGATTAAAAATGTATTATTGATACAGAAAAAAAGACATTCTTAAGAAACTTAGAACTAGAAAATTGAGAAAGTAATATGTGTTTTAATTCAATGGGGGCGAATCCCACCTTCACTTTTAGTTGTTGTATCTGCTCCTTAAATAACTGGGCCTATAATATAGGGCATAACATGTTTAATCTACATACTTTCATGCAAGTAAACACAATTTTCAAGAATTGTCTAGAAATTGTTATGTAACTAGATGCATTGCACAATGAAGAATCTAGTAAATGATATGAGGAACGTCAAGCCAAAGACCCTGCATTTAGGTAGATGGCACAAGAAAGAATTTATTACAGGGTACATTAGATACTTCAGTCCCACATCAAAGAGGAGATTTTGGACCCACTTAAATGGTTAAAGGAATGTGGGTTGCAGCTCTATCTATGAGTATGACCTAAGGAAGAGGCAAGTCTAAGGGAATGTGGCAGTTGTATAAGGGTCCGACGATGGTGCAAATACTATAAATATGCCAAAAAACTCATTTGACAGTAACTCAAATGCTAATTTTCCTTGGAAAGTAGAAATCTTGTAACCATGTATCGATTCATTAATGTAATGTAACTACTTTTAGCCTAAATGCATTTCTAAGGGTTGCAAACCTTTCTTGCCCTGATGTTCTTCAAGCTTTGTTCTAGCTGGCTACCAATCTCTTGAAGTTCCTCAACAGAACATGAGCCTAATCCTTGACCCAACAGCTTCCTGTATGATATCAAAATTTCAAACTTTAGAAATCCTTTCACCTGGATTAGATGAAGTAACATGACATAAGGATTAAATCGTTGAACCTTTTAGAAACTTCCAGGAACTCAATCTTCTTAAACATATTTTCTGTTCCAATCATCAAGTGCTGCACTTTGAAATTTTTTTGAGGAAACCGAAAGTATTGTTATCAGCTGTAGGCTAGTAATTTATTCTAATTCAGGAAGCAAGTAGTTTGATAAGAGCAATAAAGACTAAATGTAGATTATATATAGAGAAATCCAATCATATGTATCAAAGAATCAAGCCACAAAAACTAGTTAAAACGAAAGATCGCATTGATTTGATTAATACTGGGAATAATTTGCTGAAATTGACGAAGTATTATAACCGTGTTTTGGACTGCCCCCTTGGCAACTTGTTTCTAGGAGACTAGAATGAGCACTTGTCTGAGCTTTGAAATTCTTCACTTCCCAAATCTTGGATTTAAAATCCGAAACCATGAAATAAACAAGGGAAAACTATGATTTAACTAGAAATGGTTTGAGGTAAGTCAACATAAAGACTTGAGATTTTGGGTATGTGCAAATAAAAATATGAGATAACAAAATGTGCATATAAACTCCTAGGATTTGCCCTTGGTACGGATAACCACTAAAAATTCTTTAAAGGCCCTTAATTTAAAATAATGAGAAGAAAACAAAAGTGAGGCTATTTATTACAATTCATGTAACTTAAAGTGATTATCTGCACCTACCACATAACTCAAGTCCTTATTTGCACGTTTTAAAATTTCAAGTCTTTATGTGCACCCATTTTAAAATTTCAAGACTTTATGTGCACCCATTTTAAAATCACAACTATGTTATATGTATATTTTAAAATACTGGGTCCTTTTGTGCACCAATCTTAAATCACAAGAACTGGCCCTTCAGGTTCTAATGGTTCATCCTCAAGTCTTAGTACTTGGGTAGGGTTGGTCGGGAGTTCAAGTCCCACCAACCACTCAAATATTCGCACTAGACCTACAGGTTATTGGTGCTTCTCCTAACCCATGAGCTGGGCCCATTGCCTTTCCCCTTCCCCT